TAGATTATGATTATGGCTCACTTGGTGCAGTTGACAACCTCCCAAATGAGCACCCACTGCCGTGCACGCGCATGATGAAAACTTAGGTGCAGGACCGGCGTTGAGGGAAACGGACACCAACAAGACCCAGACGGATATGCTTCCATTCCTGCCCTCCCTATGGTCCATGCTCGCAGTTCTATACTCATACCTTGACGGTCTAGAAGATGTCCGCATTGAAGGCACGCAAAGATTCAGAGAATGTTGAACCTTAAGCCCCACTCTTTCCTGGGGTTCATGGAAGGCTCATGAGCTGAAAACTGACATCTCGAGCCACGGCCAGCATAAAAAGGGCGAATACGATGCGTTATGGGATTTCAACGTCAATCCAGTTGCATTGCGGACATCCTAGTTACCCTGCACCAAACACCAACCCTCAATATCAGAGACCCCCATGCAACTGAAGGCATGTGCAACGTAAAGGCAAACAGCAAAACCTGCCTGATGGTGGACTCCACCAATGTAATTCGGCGCTGACACTTGCCGCACCTCAGCCCGATATCCCACATGCCCTAGAGCCTTACACTTTGTTAAGCCCCAAATCTCCAAACCTTAACTAACTCCAAGGATTCTCAAACAAAACTAAAAAACTGAAACAGGCCATGGCCGTGAGGCTCAAGCGCCTGGAGCAAGCATGGGAAGCTTCAAGCTCAATAGATCCACTCTGCCAGCCATGACTACAGCCTGCAAAGCCACAACGTTATGCCCTCTACAAACAGCCGCATGGAAAAGTAAGGCGGCGGACAACCCGGCAAACGAGGACAGACGGGACATCTCCTAAAGCTATGGCAAAAATTCTTTGGCTTTGTTTACATGATCCTTCTTCGGGGATAATGATAGGGATCGAGTGATTTTGGCGACGGATTCTAGAAACTGAGTCTGCCGCTGCCTGTTTTCCGGCACCTTCTCCTCGCATTCCGCACAAGAAGCTGTTTTATGATGCCTTGCGCCTGATGGTTGAGAAAAACTCACCGCTATTCGACAGGTCTCGCTTGCCTGTGGCCTACGGCCTTGCCAATCCAGCCCACACCCAAACAGTCACGCCACGCAGATCTTGGGAATTGCATACTCTTGCATACCTGAAGAGGGTGCCTGGACCAAAAACTCAAGACTCAGCAGTAGGGTTGCCTTTGAAGGTGCAGCCGCAGAAGCTTCAGCCATTGCTCAGGAGAACAGAATTCAAGGCTGAATATGATGCAAAGCCTTGCTTGGAGGGCTCTTATTCACCACTGCACGCATGCGCTTCGCATAAGCCACGTGCCAGTTGTTCTACTTTGATGAGAAGATTGGCACTGAATCTCTTCAACGCCAGCTGTTCAGTGTCACGACCTGCCTGTGCCATTTTCGTTGCTACATCGTTAATAAACACATCACTGGGACAGACCGCGGCGAGCTGCACCAGAGAGGATGCAAGAAGTTGCCGCGAGAATCATAACTCCACATCTGAGTGTCTGGTATTTCCAGACAAATAAACACACTTGATTAGATCCTCCATTGTTTTAAGAAATTGTTGAATGATGTGAGCCGAAGAAGAATAATCACTGCACGAGCTCCTCCAACACAATCAGGCCAGGCCAGATAAGACCATGCTTTCGAACCCTGGCGAAACCTCAGAACTCCCAAATGAAGTCATACTATCCTTGGTTGAGAGGAACCCTCACTCAGTTCTAAACCCCTAACACACGCACCCTGAAACCAAAACCCCGAACCCTCAACAGTGAACCCTAAACTCTTAAGCCCCAGGTCCCAAACCCCCGAGCTGCCCTTTTGCCTGGAGAATTGGAGGCCCGAAGCAGGTCATGGGCCCACTTTGGGTCGCACAAAGCACAGGCGCGAAGGACTGGTTTGCTCTACTGCTAGGGCGTCGGGGTTTGAAGTTTTTCCCTCCTGCCTGGTGTGTTACAGCATGTCAAAGTGTTTTGCTTTACGAGTTTTAGGTCTTGGGAGGAACCTCTCTCCTGTCCAGTTTGGCAAGTCAACCGCACGTGCGTAAAGAGAAATAATAACTGAGCATTTGGACTGGAATGTGGAAGTCACTTCACTTTAGCCCAGCGTCTATATTGCCTAAGTTAATTAAGCAGCCCCTAACCCTAAATAGTCACTATATGGAGAAAGCTGATTGCATCATTGTCCTGCGCTTGTGCTCTTCATTCCTTGCAGTTGTAGGACACTCATGGTGCGATCCAGCTTTGCCCTTGCTCCGCAAAGACAGTACCTCCACCAGGGCAATGTGGGATCGAGAAAAACCAGTAACACAGGTGGCATACCCGAGCCCCTCTGAAGCATTTTGTGTACAGAATGCTCTCTAGGACACTTCCAAAGCCTGCTCAACCCTTTTTGCCAGATCCTGCACCCTGACTACAGCGTGTCATAATCTCCAAATCTCCAAGTTTGGTTAACCACTCAAAACAATGCCAGCTTTTGCAAACACTGTCGGAATTGGATATGTTTCTTCTAAGCTCGCATGTCACATGACCCCTACCGCGTCCCTAGCTACCCTGACCGCCACCAGGCCCTAAAAGACATTTTGCTGAAAGGTGCCGAAGGGCTGTCATGTTGGCAGAGGGTCGCAGCAGCACGCCGAGTCGAAATGGATAATTTATCAAAATAGGGGGGGTTCGGGGTTTCATGGGTCATGTAGGGATTATATGGGGATAATGGAAAAGAAAATGGAACCTACTATATTACAGGGTTATATAGGGCGTGTGGGGTTTTGGATTTTCTGCTGTGAAACTCCAGAATCTCCTCTCAGATTCCCATATATCCCTAGAGTCAGTCCCAAAGATATAAGAGCTATAGTCTAAACTCCTAGTATCCCCGTTAATAAGCCCTTTAGTACTCCCATTTCTCCCCTATATAATACCCTACATAACCCCTTTAGCAAGTTTAGACTATAAAGTCATACATCCCTAGAGTCCCAAGGGCATGTAGTCCTCCTAAGTAGAAGATGGGCTATATGGGCATCATATTATAATACACCCAAAGCCATATTATATCTACTTAAGGGGGACGATATCGCACCCATTTTTGAGAAATCCCAATCACTGCTGACAGCTGCGTAGCTGCTCGGAAACCTCCTCTGCAGGGATTCGGGTGGAAGAATAACCCAAATAATTCAAAGGGATAACGCTAACGGTTTATGGTCTAGGGTTTAGTAACATTTCGGGTTTAAGGACTTAAGGGATCTATAGGGGCTATACAGGGAGTACAGAGGCATCTATCCGGTTTAGGGTAGAATGCTGGAGAATCAAGTGGAAAGAACATGGAAGATGAAATGGGGAAACTGGGTTTGATGGAAAGTAATTATGTCTGCCTGCGGCCGAACCATCCAATATCCTTCTTATACATACTGAAAGCAAAAGAATTATATAGTCCTGCTCTATATTGGGGCTACCCTTCCCCATTTCAAATACTACACAAATGTTACGCCATCATGAATGTGAACATCCTTTGAGGGGGTCAGCTGGTACCATTTCAATTTAAAGTATCTATACCTTGAACAGATCATCGCTCGGATTGCGGTTGTTTCTTTTTGCTGTTCTCGCTCTCTTTCTGACGATGCTTAACTAAAGCATAAGATCATGTTCAATACTGAGCTCTCTCTCTCTCTCTCTCTTCTACAGGGCACTCGGGGGTGCCCATCGGGCATCGGGGTTACACCTTGCCGCCCAAAGCAACTCTGCGTCACAAGGTCATCCCCACGAGGCTCTCTCTCTCGCTTTCTCCTCCAAAATGATATTGTACTGTTTGCCTTGGGTAGTGCCCCACCCAGTAACAGTCTATATTAGGGGTCCTATGAAGGGCTATATATAGGCATTTTTGAAATTATTGTCCAACTGTTACTGGGTGGGTGCAGTACCCAATGTTTACCATTCAGGGGGGAAAGGATGACAAAGGGGTGTGAGTTTCCGGGCAGCATGGACTTCCACAAGCTTAATGTAGACCCCTGGGGGTCTGCATTACACTCCTTGACTTCCACAAATTGAAGTCCCCTTTAAATACCCGCCAAGAGGAACCCGCTTATTTTATGGCAAATGCCGAAACCCTATATACCGTTATATACCCCTAGATAACCACTGTAACCCCCTGTTAAGGGACTCCTAACTTCTTGGGAAATCCCTAGGCGAGGAGTGGACTGTAATGGCTGTCCTGGACAGCCTGCTCCAGCGAACTCAACTGCTGCGACGAGTTGGGGTTGAACTTGAATAACCTTAGGGTTTAGACACGCGCATCGCACAAGGCAGGCACGGCAAAGTGTGGTCTGGTTTTGGGTTTAGGGTTTAGGATTTAGGGTTGGGTTTTAGGGTAGGCTTCGGGGCCTTACAACAATTGCATGTATGGTTCTTTCGGCGGAATTAATTAGGGATTATGGAGAAACCATCTTCAGAACTAACCCTGGGTTACCACAATTCAGAAGCCAAATGATTTACTGCATGTCCATATTGCGGCACCTTGACATTAACTCCTTGACCTCAATAGCAACCCCGAAATAAGACAAGCTTTGACAGCAGTGCTGCATAGCTTCATAACGCAATCTTTTTCAAACAAATCTCAGACCCCATTGGAAATTTTATCGAGGATATGTGGGAGCAACAGAGGGGATAACAGCATTCTTAGAACCTAAACCTTGAAGAAAATGCCAGGCAGCGCAAAGAACAGATCAAAACTGTCCCTGGATGTGTTCTCCACCAGCTGGAGCAGTGATTCGAAGCCCTGGCAGAAACATGTTCAAATGGGGATTCCCCCAAAACGGTCCCTCTTTGGGTGCTCATAAAAGGATGAATGATCATAGCATATCTGGATGTAGATAAGCGGTCAGACACGAACTCCCAGATGTTCTTTGGGACCTGTACTAGGCTCAATGGCTTACAAGGACAAAATGAAGAGGGTTTCCAGAATGTGCACGAAGAGCCTAAAGGAACACACGAAGCATCTCATTAACTGGGTTGCTGTTAAGGAACTTAAATTAAGTTACCATAATGGGTATATATACTAAATAAAAGGGTTTCCCCAATATAGTAACTTAATTTAAGTTCCTTAACAGCAACCCAGTTAAACGATCTCCTTGGTGCCTTGGTGTTGATGGGCGTGTTGCTCAAGGCAAGCCGTTCCAGGACGCGCCCGGTGAAATGCGTCACGAACTGGCTGCCTGCCGCCACCTCATCATGCAGCTCGCAGGTCATGTCCTTGGCAAGGCAAGACCATCTGCAAACGGAAGAACGGAAACTGCTGATCTTCCAGCGAATGATTTGAACAATTGAGCCAGCGGCCACCATCCGGCATCCCTGGTTCGACCACCACTTCAAGAACTCCTCACATCTCCTCAGGGTACCATGCTGAATCACTGCGTGCTCCCGAAGGATGGCTCACCGACTTCCCCTTGCAATCTATACTCGCAGTCGTGAAGGACCTACCTCCCTCTGTTGAATCTAGCATGCAACACCTTTTGCCCGGCGCCTTGCGTTGTTCAGCCTGACCCGCTCGAAGACAAAGGGCAGTCCACCCCAGCCATGCTTGCCGCTCTGTGGACCAAACATGGGATGAGTGCACAGGATGTCCTCAGCAGTGTCTGCGAAATGCGGATCAAGGTGCGGACTGCAGCTTGCACACACTAAGACCCTAGGGAACACTTGCAGCAACCAAACAAAGTCCGCAGGCATAACGTCCTTCATCCAACTTGGAATTTGGCTTTGCAAAGCAAAGCTTGCAAGAGGGACTGAGGCGAGGGATTAGGGCTTAGGAGTGGCATGCAGGAACGGTAAAAAAACAAACTTCTTTTTAGGGTTTAGGATTTGGAGATTAGAGCTTCGGGATCAGCGTTGGAAAATCAAACGGAGGCCACTATTTAGGGCTCAGGGTTTAGAGAGTAATCATACGCAAACAAGTGTAGCTGAGTGTCACAAGTTTCTGGTAACAAGGCACCCAGAGTCGTCTTTGCATGCACCTGCACACAAAATTCTCAATTTTCCCGCAAAAATGTTAGCACATTGCGCACGTTCTGAATGAATGGAATTAGTTGGGGGGTGTATTCGCTCTGCGGCTCCCACGCGGAGCGACTTCCAAACTTGGCTCTAAATCGTGCGTCAGGGGAATCACTACCTCAGTGGAGCTTCCTCACAATATGTTGTCGCCACAGCGCTCCTTCCATACGTGCTCATCACTCTTGGACTGATTAATTTGGTACTTACCCAAAATAAGGGGACCCCAATATAGACCCCAACTCCAACATATTAAAATCCCTATTATAGGGCCCCCAAATGGTACCCCTGATTTAAGGAAACCCCCATTTGGAAATAACTTGGGAGTGCTGTCAATGGGCCTGGGCTGCTCTTGGAACCTTGGAGACTTCTTTCGGGAGAAGCCCAAAGGTCTTACCTTATCTGGGGCCATGCCCGCAGAATTTCATGCTCCACCAACATGCGCCTTCACGGAGAGGACATCCACCACCAGCATCCGCCGCGACCTTGACGAGACCAAAAACATAAACTCCAAACCCTACACCCCAAACCCTAAACTGCCCGAAAACTCCTGAATCCCTCAAACCCTAACCCCAAAGCCCAAACCGCAAGCCCCAAGCCCCAAACCCTCCCCACGGGGCCCCCGGCGGGTGAGCGGCGTCCTTGGAGGAGATGGCATTACAGATCCGACGGACCATGCCCTCAAAGCTCAGGATGCTGACCTCTTGGGCTTGAGGCTTTTGCGGTTTGGAGTTTAGGGGCTTAGAGGTTTAGGGGTTTGAGGGCTTCAGGGTTTAGGGGTTTTAGAGTTTAGGGGTTGAGAGATTTGGGGTTTGATGAGTTGGGCTTCAGGTTTGTGCTTGACTTAGGGCTTTGCCTGTGGGCTGGCTCATACCAGCATGGACTGAGGTACGGTTGTAGGTGCGGCATCTGTTGGGGTAACGGAGGGGTTTTGCAGCCGTCCTAGGTGATGCACAGGGAACTACAAGAAGGAACAAAGGGCTTTAGGGGTTCTGCCCTTCATTAAGAAATTCTGGGGGCTCAGATCCCAATGACAGACCAGTACATCTGAAACCTAAAACGGAAACCCCTAGTTTTGAGAAACCCCACAAGACAGTACAAACTTGGTTCCGACAGCTGAGATTCCTACACTGATAGTCGTAGACATGACTATGCAACAAAATGCTAATAGTGTCTAGAAGAACTGACCTCTGGGAAATCGCGTCCCTGCCACCAGGTGACAGAAATGATCAGCACATCCAGCTGCTGATCCAGAAGGTGATCGATGGAGTCACACCAGGTCCTGTGGCACTGAGATAACTGTTCGGGTTTAGGGTTTAGCGGTTTTTTGGTTTAGAGGTTTAACGCTCAGCGCTTAAGGCTTTGGGTTCGGGGTTTAGGATGTAGGGTTGAGGGTGGTGATGCAAAGTCTCTCCAAACAAACCCAAGTGGCACCAAGTTGGGTGCTCTTGAGCTGTCGGCTAGCCTTTGACTTCAACCACACCGGCATGCCGACATTGCAGACTCTCCTGCCAATGTCTGCCACCCAAATCATAACCGTCATAACCAACATTTCGATCGCGACAAATGTACCAGGAAGTAAGGGCCGTTTCCCATGCTCCCCTGACGCAAGCAGAAAACCTTCAGTTTGCATGGCATTTCACCGCAAAACACATCGCCGGTCACCAAAATGGTGATCCTTCTTTGGGTTTGTCACACTAGCTCAAGATGCAGAGTACACAAACGGGACCTCGCTTTTCGACCCCGCGCATGATCCCACATAATGTGGCGGTTTCATTGTTGATGACCATATTTCGGGGTCTATATTGGGGTCTCTGCATTTTAGAACTACCACATTGTCTTTCAACCCCCCCCACCTCATACATGGTCTTCCATGCATAGGGACCCCAACATAGATCTCGAAACCCATTTTTGGGGAAACCACAAACCCTACACCCTGAATAGTAGTTTTCATTTTCTTTTCCATTATCCCAATATATCCCCTCTATATCCCTATGTATCCCATGTGGTCTTTTGCTAGCCGAAGGACACACCGCAGTTCGCCGCCATCTGGGAGTAGTTTTCCCGGCTGGCTGCAAAGACGAAATGGTCCAAGGCCAGCTTCTTGCCCTCGGCTTCATGGGACAAAACACCGAATGATCACAATGACCGAAATACCTGGAAGGGATTTGGAACCACAGTAGAAATTCGAATTTCAGCTAAATATTAGGATTGTTGGTAACAGAAACTAACAATCATTTTCAGGAACCTTGTAAATACTATTAAGAATGATAATGATCATGAAAACAATGATAAAAACAAATAAGTTCTAGCTTTATGATGACAATAATAACGCACATAGCAACACTAAGAATAGCCAGGATAATACCAACAGTAGCAATAATAGCAAGGTCCCTTTTTCCGTGGGCGCTTGTCAGGACTTGGGTTCACGTCATGTTCCCCGGGCTAAACCCTACAAACCCCCTAAACCCTAAACCCCAGACCCTAACCCCTAAGCCCTAAACCCTAATTCCTATACCCTAGACCCATCATTAAACCTTAACCCCTAGACCCTAAACTCTACACCCTAACCCCTAAACCCTGACCCCTACACCCCAAACTCTAAACTCTAAGCGCCCAAACCCCAAAAAGTCATTCCCATAGCCTGCAGGGCAGCAATGAACTGACCGAAGGTGCCGAATCCCAGGACCCCAACTCGCTTCTTTGGCTCCGTGGCTGGGCGGAAAATTGGCACCTGCGAGGTTATCCTAGGTAGTTAAAGGCTTAGGGTTTAGGTAGTTCTGTATGGGATACATAAGGTTTTTGGGGAATCAAATGAAACAGAAAACGGAACATGAAATGGATATTGGGGCTTTGGATTTTAAGCCTTAGGGCCGAAGTAGGCATGTTCCAAAACAGTATTCTTATGTGTAATCACGATCAGAAGACACTGTAGGATATGACCTGGTATTAACTTGGACCATCCCCTACCTAGTCCTAATCATCATCATGATCGTCAGCATCAGCATCCGAAGCATCAGCTGCAACGACGGCACCGTGAATTTGGTCAATCCGGTTATCATCGTCATAATCACTACAACCACGGCCAGAATCGTCACCGTTGCCCGTGTGACTGATGTAGCCCCTACATTACCCCTATGTGGGTGGTTGTCAAAATTATGGCCCCTTTTTGGGTACCCTAAATATTAGGGGCCGTATTACAATATGGATCCAAAAAGGGACCATAATTTTGACAACCACCCATTTGACCTTATGTAGCCCCTAAGCACTCCAATTTCCTGCCCCAAGAGCACCATCCGGTCTTCCAGGTGCTTCAAGCCCACCAAGGCTCCGCCTTGGGGAAAGGATCCCAACCTTGCAACTGTAGGTTTGTGTTTAGGGTTTAGGGGGTTTAAGGGGTTTAGGGGGTTTAGGGTTTAGGGTTTAGGGTTTAGGGTTTAGGGGGGGTTGCCTATATTTGTGAGGTTTTCCCAATATTAGGGGCCCTTTTTTGGGGGGTCCCCACAATAAGGATGATAGTTTTTGGGGTCTATTTTGGGGTCCCTCCCTATTTGGGGAAACTACCAGCTACCATGTGTATATTCTTTCTTTGTTTAGTTGCTTCGTTTATACGGGAATTAAGGTTAAAAATATCAAAAACTTGTTGTTAATCCTGCCCACCCTTACCGGAAAACGCTGGCAAGCGCTCGGGTTCTGCACTAAACCTGAACCCTAACCCAGGGGTTTCAAAATCCATGTCCGAAAGAACCCTAAACCCTTAAACAGACGATGTGAAAGTACCCCAACCTTGTCAGACAAATTCTGCCATGCTCCATGTCGGAAATCTCGGGGTTTCCCAGAAGTTAGGAGTACACTCAAAGGAATTTATGAGGGTTTTATAGGGATATATAGGGTTTAGGGTTTAGGGATTAGGTTTTAGGGTTTCTCAAAATCAGAAGTACCCTCAAAGGGATGTATAAGGGTTATGTAGGGATATATGGGGTTCAGGGTTTTAGGATTAGGGTTTAGGGTTTCCCAGAATAAGGGGTGTCCATAGGGTTCAGGGTTTAGGAATTAAGGTGTAGGGTTTCCAAAAAGTAGGGGTACCTTTTTGAGGGTCCCCATAGTACGGACCATATTTTTCGGGGGTCTATATTGGCTTAGGGACTTCACCACATTTGGCAGAAACCCTGACTGCCAGACATTACTATATGAAAGATACATTGGGATGAGGATGCGGCACATGTAGTGCAATAGCATTGAGGGAATCCGCCTAAGGTTGTGGCTTGTTTTGAGGTCTGAGAAACCGGCTTCCCCAAAAGCAAAAAGCTGAACTGATTCTGAGCCGAGGGTCACTCTGAAGAAGACCGTCATCTCTTGCAAATGCCGCAACGCGTTGGTGACGTTGTGCTCCTCGACCTGCTGGAATCGCAGCATGTGAGCTATAGTCTAAACTCCTTCCATCTCCCGTTAAAAGCCGTATACTACTCTCCTCTATAATCCCCTATATAACCCTCTTTATGGAGTTTAGACTTCAGCTCATGTGGTGACGTACGCAAACTCACATCTGAGCCCACTCGTTCGACCTTGAAGGTCTGCGGAAGTCAGGATGGCAGGGCAATGTCATTATTACTATTAGGGTTTAGGGTGTAGGGTTTATGGTTTAGGGGGCTTAGTTCTATTATTACAATTATCATTATTACTATGATCATTCGTACTAGTATTAAAATATTGATATTACTCTTCTTGTGTAAACCATTGTTATAACTGTTATCATTCGTAAGACTTGTTAGTATTTTTGTTGAGCTCGTGCTTTGCTGAAAGCGTGTGACATGGGCATCCTGTGCTCCGCACTCGGAAAACACTGCATCACCGTGGAAAATCCCAGAAGCCGTGATGACTCCGCGAACCCACGAAGGACGCACTGCAGAAAAAGACAACTATTATTGTGTTCATTTCTACTATTACTCCTAGTCGGCTTGAACCTACAACTTCGGCAGAGCAACAGAGATCTCATAGAGGCTCAAGGAATTCTACTAGAACAGACTTCGTGGATTAGGACCGGTGACAGCCACTGAAGCCTAAACCCTCAACCAATCAACAATCTGAAGCCCCACTGGGTGGCCCCACAGATGCCAGGAAATCCACGTAGAAGAGGTAACGGAATCGAGCTTCCGACACCTTTGCCGTCAGCCAGCTCTCTTGGGTTTCACGCTTCTAGGCGTAGGGTGTTCATTCTAAGTAGGCATATTACGAAATGCTCGTGTAAACTAGAAAAGTAGCTATAGAGGAGTAGAGGTTCTAACCTGGGAAAAACCTGAGCATTTTTTGAACCTTTGCGGTTTAAAGTTTAAGGCTTAGGGTTTCAGAGTTTAGGGTCAATCGGGGTTTCCACAAATTGCGGGCCCCTTTTGGGAAGTCCCTATCATGAAAAATGAAACGTGTTTGGGCTTTGTATGGGGCCCCCAGTTCTGGAAACCTGCAAATAACCCCAGAAGAACAAGGACTGACTCCAGGAAAGACCGCCCCCGCAGCAATCTCGAAGGAACCATGAAAAATGAAACATGTTTGGGCTTTGTATGGGGCCCCCAGTTCTGGAAACCTGCAAATGACCCCAGAAGAACCATACATCTGGCCATAACTGCCAGCAGTCGATTGGTTCAAGGGTCCGTCACGCAAAGACAGACAACACCAAGGGTGTAGTGTTTAGGGCCAAGTCTGGAGTTCAGAGCTTAGGGAGTTTAAGGAGTTCAGGCTTTAGGGGTTATAAGGGTTTATATATTGGGATAATGGAAAAGAAAATGGAAACTACTATAGTGTAGGGTTCAGGCTTTAGGGTTTAGTTTAGGGTTTAGGGTTTGAGCGCGAAGCGTTAAACAGTAGGAAACCTTCCATCCAACCCAAGAAATCACGCAACAAACCCTACAAAAGTACTTCAGCCCCAAGGCAAGAGAGGTAATGCCGCGCGCTCTCAGAAATTTGGAAGCCCGATGTTGAAATCTGCTCGAAAGCTCATATTGAATCCACGCTATTCTTCTCCAACTTCTTCAATGCATGTATTACCCCCCCAAAATCCTAAACCCTTAAACCCTAAACCGTCTAGCATTCACAGGCCCTTTGTTGAGAAAGGTGCCACTGTATCCGTCTTTGCCCGCTTCGCTGGCGGGGTCCCGCGCATGCTCGCGTAGAGGCGCTCAAGGTTTGTCATGATGTCCTCGATTTGAGGGGAGTTTGCTGTTGGGTTTGCCTTCAAGTTCTGAAGGAGCTGCTGAAACCTTCACTCTTACCCAAGCTTCACGCGGCGCAAGTAGCTACACCCCAGCACTGGAAACCAACCCCAGGGAGGAAACTTCAATCATGCCCGTGAAGAACCGGAAGCAGCATTCATTCAGTCCATCCAGCCCTAAACCCTCAAACTCCTTGACACCAACACGAGACGTTCACATAGCATGTGTGGCCAAACACCTTCTACCGAATCACCATGATCAAATCCTTCCCAATACTCAACTCCAAACGCGCCTCCACAAAGACAAAGCCCAACATCCAGAAACCCTACAGTCACATACTTGTGCCCCAAACCCCACACTCAAAACCTTCACCAGTCTACTGAGGGCCCGGAAAGCCGCACGTCGTCGCTCACCCTCCCCGGTGCACCAATACGAAGTGCAGCTGCCGAGTTTACAAGACGAAGCAGCCATCACAACCTGAGGCCCTGAACCCTAAACCCCCTTAACCCTTAACCCCGTAGACCTTTAACCCCCTAAACCCTTAACCCTAACCCCTTAAGCCCTAAGCCCTGAACCAGTGAACTGTTTTTGGCCCCAAAGTCTGGTTTGCACGGTCTGCTTTCGATCTTGGTGAGATCAATGTCCCGCAGGGCAAAGACCGACAATGCTTTGAACAAGGAGCCTCCCAGGACCCGGGGGGGAAATACGGTCGTTATTGTCATTATTGTCATTGTTGTTGTTCGTGATATGAGTACTCATATTTTTATTATCATTATTCTGATTACTATTATCATTCTCATATTATCATTACTACTATAACCATTACTAGTATTGTTATCATTATTGTTATTCTTGTTGCTGTTGTACTTCTCACTCTCATTACTATGATTGTTGTCATTATTGTGGTTATTGTTGCTGCTATGCTTATACTTATTGCTATCATGATGCGGAGGACCTCCAAGGGTTGACGCTTCCATGGCTGTGCTTGAGGAGTACTGTATGGTGGCTTATCTTGAGGCACCTGGCCCCCAGGGTTGGGTTGGCAAAAGAAAACACCAGCGGAAGGATAGGAGGCTTAAAACTTTGGGCTCGCCCACTTACCTAATAACTGCTGGGTTAAACTGCATACTTTCGGATGTGTGCTTTTTTTTGGGATGAGCGACTCAGCAAGCTGTAGGCCTTAGGTTTGATCCCAGGGGTGGTCCTCAAGAGCTCAGCGGAAATGGAGGTTTGGGATGGTTCCAGTGTGCTAGCCAAGGCAAGCCCCGCGTGGTTCACCAGAAATGGGGATTGGGCCAGTTAAGTGTCCGCTTCCCACTCTCAACAACACCGCCCTGACCCCAACACGTTCCATGGCTCCGATCAAGGCCTGCCATGTTCTCCAGGGAGAAGACGACGGACGTCTTGCATTTTACGCCAGGAGGTACAGTGACTGGCTCCGGTCTCAGCAGCAGAAAGCGGGTGAAGTTGTTGTCGTCGTCCTCAATGCCTCAGGAACGAGGACATGCCAATGTAGCAAAAGCACGATGCTCTTCCCACCGGCCAAACTAGCCTGAGTATCTGTCTCGCAAGACCAGGTCAAACATCGTCGGCCAAGGGCTTATGTGAACACAGCGCACGGGGTCAGCTTTCAGGCTTCCAAACCCCACAAGACATCATTGTTCAGCTCGACCCAGATCGGCCCAACCATGATCAACAAATCAATTACACTGCATATTTGGTATTCCGGGGACCGTCGTGATTCACATCACTGTTATTACCACTGTCGCTATTTCCACTATCACTATGCTCACTATGGCCAAATTTCAGCTCAGGCTCCTTTGTCCAACACCTCAAGGCCAAAGTGCTCTGCGGCCAATTCACTGCAGATTGCGGCCACGCCCTTCAAACTACCTGGCTGTGCACAGCCAGAAACGCGCACTTGCGCTTCCAAAAACCTGAAACACTTAATCCTGAATAGTCGTTTCCATTTTCTTTTCCATATTCCTACAAATATAAACGGATATATATATATATAAACAAACATAACTGGGACAATTCCCTATATAACCCTATATACTATAGTAGTTTCCATTTTTCCATATTCCCTATGTAACCCCAACTGGGGAAAAATATACATACACCAATGCTGGGCCCTTCATACTCCTAGGAATCCTCGTGATATCCCCCATTCTTCCGTACACCCTAAACTCCCTCAACCCTAAAAACCCCTAAACTCCCTCAACCCTAAAAACCCCTAAACTCCCTAAACCCTAATCCCTCAACTCTAAACCCTAATCCATAAACTCATCCCTGGACCCTCAGACCCCTACCCCCAACCTTCAGAGATCAGCTTGGCACTGCCGGCTGTGTCATAAGCGGCCTCTGCGGTGATGCCTCAGGGAGCACAGCAGCAGTAGTAGCGGTGGTGGCGGTGGTAGTAGTAGTAGTAGTAGTCGTAGTCGTAGTAGTAGTAGTAGTAGTAGTAGTATTAGGTGTCAGGAGTGATTAGGTGTCAGTGGCAAATAGCAAGTAGATATGGCAGTGGCGGTGCCGCTGGCACGAATTGTCTTACACGCTGTCTTCAAGCCTTTCGTTGTCGGCAGATAGTCAATTGCAGCCAGTATGTTGGGAAGCTCACATAGGACCAGTAGAACGAGGCGGACACCGAAAAGCTTGACGCTGTTGGGGTTTAGGGTTTAGAGTTTCGGGTGGATAGCAAGACTGGAATGTACAATCAATCCCTTCATGCCATCCCGTTTTATCATAACCACAAGAACTAGTCATCCAATCCCTGGCTAACCCTGAAATAGTGAAACAAAAAGACTGCAGTCCTAAAACCCTAGACACCAACCTCGCCAAAGAACCTAAAGCCCAGACCCCGGCGTCCAAATGATTCAGGCTCCAACCTTAACCCTGAACGTTAAGCCCCAACCTCAAAACCCTTCCTGCTTCCCACCCCTCATGTAAAGGGACTCTACTGGGAACCCCAAATAGGGAACCCCAAGAATATAGCAGGAATATAATGGAATCTAAGGACCCTGGTAGGTATATTCCTATTATATACCTACTATATTCTTGGGGTTCCCGGTTTGGGGTTCCCAGTAGAGTCCCTTTATCATGCCCCCTTCCCCCCTTTAATAATCTCTACCGGACCCTGCGAAAAACCCTCTATAACCCCGACCATTTCCCATATATAACCCCTATAAAAGCCTATCTCCATAAAATCCCTATAAAATCCCTAAAGCCTAAACCCTAAACCATAATTCCTAAAGAACCCCTACAGAATCCTTCCCCACCATACCCTCCTGAACCCTAAACCCCAAACCCTAAACCCTAAACCCTTCCCCCCCACCCATACCTGGCCTTGCTTCTTCAGGTAGGAGCTGCACTGCGCCAAGGCCTGGGGATGGCTAATGGCCTTGGTGAGGTCCGCCTGGCGCGGTTTAGGGTTGAGAGTTTAGGGTTGAGGGTTTAGGGTTGAGGGTGTAAGGTTTAGGGTTGAGGGTTTAAGGGTTTAGGGTTTAGGGGTATGTATATGGGCAATTCTGAAAATTATGGCTCCTTGTGGTTACAGATTAGATTACGGCACCTAATATTTAG